ATAGATAATCAGTAGTGCGGGCTGTGAGGATGTGCTAGCATGTGGCTGCGCTGTTATATATATAAGTGATGAACGGGTGGGGATGGAGATTGACGAGTGAGGGTTCTCCTACTATTACTTGCTATGACTGTCAGTTCTACTAGACAGAATTTCAGTCCGAAGATTTGGTGCTTCCTGGAGGAATGGTAGGTAATGCATTAGGCAGTACAAGTCAAAGCGATGCTGACCACATGCATTTCTCCATGATATATGTCAACCATACCACACACTCCAAACGAGATACACCACAATCCAAGACAACAAATGTATACAAGACACCAAATTACGTATATTATGTACTGATCAAAACCAAAAAAACATGAACTAACCAAACCAAGCCAGATTACCATAATGCACAACCCCATCCCATCCCATCCCTTTAACCTTCCATCCTCTATCATCAATCCATCATCACATCCACCGACCCACCCCTCAATGAATGCCACAAATCCTCACACGCATCCTGCAAGGACTTCTCCGCCTCCCATCCTAACTCACAAGCTGCCCTCTCCGGAACCGCCACGCACTCCTGCACATCCCCGGGCCTCCTCTCCGCCAGCCGTCTTGGAATAGACTGATGACTGACGCCCTCCATCGCGGACACCACCTCCGCCACGGAATGCCCTCGCCCGGTCCCCAGGTTAAACGTGCGGAAATTCGTCTTTACCTGTCCGGCTAGCGCTGCCGCCAGGGCTGCCGTATGTCCGCGCGCCACGTCCGACACGTGGATGAAATCGCGGATGGCGGTGCCGTCGGGAGTCTCCCAGTCGGTTCCGTAGACGGATAAGGCTGGTAGTTGACCCGTCAGGACTTGCACGACTACCGGGACGAGGTTCGAGGGTGTCCCGCGGGGATCTTCACCCAGGAGACCCGAGGGGTCGCATCCGATGGGGTTGAAGTATCGGAGACCTATGATGGTCCAGGATGGATCGGAGGCTGCTACGTCGGAGAGAATGGCTTCGCCGATCCATTTGGTGCGGCCGTAGGGGTTTGTGATCCCTGTGCAGCCTTGCTCGGATGTTATAGGTTCTCCAGAGGAGACACTGTGGTATGTCTCGGGTTGGTGCACGCAGTGCTCCTCGCGCAAGGTGCCGTGGTTCTGGGCTAATGTGCCGTAGACGTTGGCTGAGGAGGAGAAGATGAAGGTTTTGATGTCGTGGTCCGCGAGTAGGCTGACTAGGTCTACTAATCCGGTGACGTTGTTGTGATAGTACTTGAGGGGATTGCGCAGACTGTCGTTGACGTCCTTGAAAGCGGCGAAGTGGATCACTCCTACGATTCTGGATCGGGACTGAGTGATGCTATCGCTGGTGTCTAGTGATGACTCCACTGTGTACGAGGCCAGCAGGGCGCGCATGGCGGGCACGTCGCGGAAGTCGATACATCTCAGCTCGGCCCGTGGACAGTGGCCACCCGTCCGGTCAAAGTGCTGCTTGGCTGCCAGCAGAATCCGGTCGAAGACGTGGTGGAAGCTATTGCTCAGGTCATCCACAATGATCACGTTGTAGCCAGCCTTGAGCAACTCCAGAGTGGTGTGGCTGCCGATGTATCCTAGTCCGCCGGTGACGAGTACATATGGGGCGTCATCCTGCACTGGCAGGGAAGGTTCGTCGAAGTATTCATCCCGCTCGGTCTCGGGAGTCGTAGGTGCGGAGAATAAGGGCGTGGGCACTGGCGAGCTTCCTTCAGAGGCACAGATAACAGACATGGCGCAGCTGATGGAGAAAGTACAAAGGAATGGAACAATAATAATAGCAACCGCAGCAGCAGCAGCCGTGACGAACGGGATCAGACAACGACGATGACGAGGCCAATATAATCCACAAACTCTCGCGATATTTGACGAATCTAGATTCTCACCAGGCCAGTATAAATCACGAACTTAAGCACTACGGAGAGACTACTCAGGCTGGGCGAAACCCGGGCAGGAAGTACTTGGAATCGTGGGACTTGCCCTTCACTCGCTTTCCACCCCCCTTTCCCGTGTCAAGGACCGTCGATTCAGCTACGTTACGCCGGCATCGGTTTTCAGGAGCCCGATGATTTCATCATCGTCGTCGAGTCAATGTCCTTGGCCCAGTCTGCCTACTACATAGGACCGGCGCCTGCCGCCCTAGTGAGGGATGAACGCAGCGTGGTTCATATTTATCCGACAGCCAGGCGGCGACAAGCGACAATGTGTTTAGGGACATGAGGACTCGGGATCTGCCTTGTGTTTTCACTTTGGGAGATAATTGGCGATCGTAATTGACGTCGAATCAATTAGGCCACACGAGTCAGCCGGAGTGAGAGGGGCATTGGCAGTCAAGGTTCGACCGCGGACTTGCTAGTTCTACATTTTACTGGGGGGGAGACGAAGAGAGGCTAAGGGCAAAAAGGAAGCAATTGGGGCAGAAAGAAGAAAATGACGAGATGACGGTAGTTCTGGGTCTGCAGTAGCTTATCTAGTGGTGCCTTAGTATGCATTAGACCCATGTTGCCCATCATTGGCTTTGCCGGATCGACTCCGTGGCATGACGGCGGCATTTCTGAAATTAAATATATTAATTCGGGGCTAGTTGGAAGCCTGGCCGGGTCTAGCTGTCTGACTGACTGATAGGTTGGACTGACTTGCTTTGGTGTCAAGGAGCCTTGTCTGCCATGAGGTCTGGCGTGACTCCCAAGGGTGTAGATGTGATTCATGGCAGAAATTGTCGCTGCGAGGAGAGGTACACTGAAGCATGCAGGTCTCAGCCGGAGTAAGCCCTAGTTTCAACCGTGCAGGGCCAGCGCATCTGCTTTTTTCCCTATCTTCCTGTCTTCTTGCCTTTCTTGCCTCGTCGTCTCGAGGGCCGGTGAATTGTCCTCCGTACCTGATGCCGGACATGCGGCATCAGGCACTGGGGACCTGCAGATACGAAGGCGAAGAGAAAACGGTGAGACTTTGATTTGTAAAAATTATCCTTTCTGTTGCTTTTTTTTCCTCTTTGCCTCCCAGCCACTGCAGGCTACCTGTCTAGCTAAGCAACAACGTAGGTGTACTCGCAGAAAGTGGCTTTCCAGAATTGTCCGAATTCCCGAACATCCCGATCAGCGCTAAGAAGGGGGTGAGGAAAAGGAAAGGGAAAGAACTCCGCCTTGGCTACTCTGTACTCCATAACTACTGCATCTTGCCTTGAAAGATGATGAGACAAGCTGAGGAAGAAAAAGAAAAAAAACGAGAGGGGCGCCCTTGCGTGCGACCCATCGAAAGTGACACGTTCGACGAGTCAGAGGACACAGGAACACCAAAAGTGATGGGGGTTCCGGACTCCACCGGTTCATGGTTCCCCTTGTTTTAAGACGATGGGGACAAAAGGGATTCGGGATCCAGTTTTTAACTAAGCCGATAGTCTCTCTAAGTTAGTTACTAACTATCTACTGTCCCAATTCCGACAAAGTCTCCATCAATATGCCCCAGCTGGAGGGACCGAAGCGCTCGTAGAAATCGCCTACGATTTCGGTGACAAATATGTAGGCGGCACGACGACGCAGATCGCGCACCAGGGCGGGAATATGATGGTTCGGGACTTCCGTGACCATGTAGCCGCAGCGATCGCGAGGATATGGAAGCTCGCCTAGACGATGCTGCACCTCATTGGTTTGCCAGCGTGCAAAAGGCTCCTCACAGACCAGCAGGAGATCTGAGCCTGCATCGGCCATCTCGGGATCCGGGGGGGTGCCTGGATTGTGTACCACCTGCATCATCATCATCATCATCGTTATTATTATTATTATTATTATTAGAAAAGAAATCAGCCACGTTGTTTCCATGTTTTCTCATTTGTCGGGTTTCAGTGACACAGACAGAAAACAGCTGTCGGAGTTTTCATTTCCTTTTTTCTCCTCCACCAAGGTAGGAGAATGAGGAGAGAGAGAGGGGCAGTGGCTGAACCAAAGAAAAAAAAAGAAAACCACCATCATAATAATCATAATAAGAGGGACAAATGCTTACCAATCGGTCGCGGAGAAGGCCCGAGCAAGCCTTGATGTGACTATGAAGCGCGCGCAAATACTCGGCCTGAGCGGCATTGAAGTGGTTGGGAGTCTCATCGACCATGATGCCACCCACGCCTAAGCCGGTAGTGGCATACTCGGCGGCCCAGCTGGCATAGCGATCGATCTCCTCACAGGCGACGGCCAATGGCTTTCGGCAATAGTCGATGCGGATATAGCCGACGGGATAGACATTAGGGCAGGCATTCAGGCGGGCCACTTCGCGCGCATAGTTGGCATCGGGGCACGGCAAGGCACCGGGTCCACTGTTGGGGTTGACGATCACCAGGAACTCGAGGTCGGGATAGGCAGCGATTCTACAGGTACACTCCCTACCCATCAGTGTCACTTTGCTAGGCAAGAATCATGTAGATAGACCATCAACCAGAGAGAAAAGAAAAAAAAAAAAAGTGAAGAAAAAGCAAGCAAACAAGAAAGAAGGTAGGTAAACTTTACGCGTTATACAGTGGATCCCAGGTGGTCGGAGTTAAGGGATAGATGTACAAGGGCACGAGCACGCCGGACTTGGGAAGCGTCATGGTGGTGGTGGTGGTAGCCATCGGAATCAAGCTGGATGGGGAATAGAGGTGGAAGAGGTGGGAAGTTGGCACTTGGGGGGAACACTTTGGGGGCAGAGACAAAACTGGGAAGACGACAACAACCAGAAGAACAACAAGAGAAAATGGGGACTAGCGGTGGCCAGGGTTATTTTTTCCAGCAATTTAGATGACTACCGGTCTTATACGAGAAATCATGGCATGAATTCATCTATGTGAAGTCGCTAACTAGTCAAGAGGCGCGACGTGGACACCACGGGCCAAGGCAGACATTGTGAATGGGAGATGACTGTACCATAGCAGCCCGGTGATATAGGACTAGTCGTCTTGTCCTGTCTGTGTGCCTGTCCAAGAAAGCCGAAAAGCAAGGAAAAAAGCAACGAAGAAAAAGTACCATAACGCCACTCCCGCGCTAAACCATGGACCAAAGGTCTGGCCGGGCGTCTCCAAGCTTTTCTCTTGCAAACCTTCCCCTGCCGGCTGCAGTTGGTGTATCTCACACCAATCACAGCCCCGATCGGGGAACCTTGACCGGGCCAACTCACAACGCATGGATCTTGGTCCAAGTGGAGCATCCTCTTTAGCGCCAGATACTAGTCAAAGGGGAAATATTCACTAGAGTTGTTCGAACTTCCATCGAGAGCGACCGTCCCAGAGTTATCGAAGTTTGGGTGCGGCGGGAGCCACACACACGGGGATCAACCGGCCACTTATCGTCGTTCTTCAGGTCGGCATCACGTCGCAGATGGTCTCACCCTCCGGATCGAAACTCTCGTAGTAGTCTTCCGTCAACGTGGTCAGGAACAGATACTCGGCCTTTCGGCTCATCTGGTTGACAAAACTGCGCAACGTGCTGTTGCTGAGATTGTCAGGTACCGAGTGCAGCATATACGCATATGCCGTGCGATTCGAAGCCATGGCGTTCAGACTGTGCTTTTCCGAGTGAAAATCCTGGTAGGAGCTCTCAAACACCACTGTGACGTCCGTCGCGTTGTTCTCGTAGCGACTATCCGGAATGGTACCGGGATTGTGGATCACCTAAAGGGCAGATCCGCCAAAAAAAAAGTTAGCCACTGGGATCGTCATAGCAAAAGAATTTTCTGCGCTCTTGCTGCACCCGAACCGCGGTCTCGCTTACCATGCGATCTCGGCCCATTCCCGAAGAACTCTTGACGGCCTCGCTGATCGTCTGCATGTACTCAACCTTTGCTGCCGAGTAGTCATAGGGAGCTTCGTCAAAGAAAATCCCATCCATCGCTAGTGTCAGCGATCGATTCGCCCACCCGGCATAAGTGGCGACATCATCCAGCACATCGGTGATGTTGCGCGTGGCATAAGCCGTGCGTACATATCCAACCTTGCGTACATTGGAATATGTGCTAAGTCGTTCCACTGAGGAGGTATACTCCTCCGAGGGATACGCACTGGAGCCGGGTCCGCTCGACGGATTGATGATGACCGTGAAGTTCAGGTCCGGGTGCGCCGTGACCCTGGGACTGTCAGTCACCGTGCGCAATGTAATCGGGGGGTATGTGTGTTTCAGGTTCAACATACGATTCATATAAAGGATCCCATGTACTGTCATTGGTGGGGTAGATGTATAGTGGGAACAGAACGTTCGTCTTTTCACCACCATGCTTGCGAGTCAATATGACTGCACAGGGGACAACAATGACAATAATGATCACTAGGGCAATGGCAATGGAAATGGCGATGCACCAAGGCCGCCGGGGGCGCGTAAGATTAGGGCGAGGCATCCATGCGGCAGCCAGTCCGAGCTGGCGAGGGTTAGTCGAGAAGACGGAGTATAGTCTAGCTAAAGACGCAAGCTGAGTTCCGGCCTCTGCCTGACCTAGATAGACGGCGCGCAGGAAATGATATAAACCTGGGGGGGAATCCGGCCAAGAGTGAAGTCCCGGACTCGCCGGACTCACATGTAGGAACTAGACCGTTGTGATTCGTTCGCCGTGTGGCGCGATAACAACAAAGGATCCAGTGATATTGGGACCTAATGGCAATCGAGGCTGATGACATGACCGTGCTTTTTGAGGTGCAGAGCAGCGTGGCTAGGACAGCAAAGGCAATTAGAGCCCCGTATTCGAGTCAGACATGCATAGACCCCCACGTTAGCGCCGCTTTCGTGCCCACCAGTCCACTGGAAAGTCCCTATCGGTTCGAGGGCCCAGAAGAAGAAAAGCAGCCAGAGCAGAAAGAGAAAAAAAAAAGAAAAGTGAACGTAACGGAAAAGGGAATCTCCCACTATGCTTGATGCTGGCTGGTAGACTAACGCCTGCTCTGCTGGCTGGCGCTAGGCCCTTTAATCACATTTGATTTTTCATTTTCTTTTGGGTCAGCGGTAGGTTCCAGAGATACATGCATCTGCTATAAATAGTTATATTAAATGAAGAGATGGCGCCTCCCTTGGCGGCTTGAAAGGGAGCTTGACTTGGGTAGTCAGCGATTCTTATCGCCCTAGATCATAATAACCACTTAGGTACCCCGTCCACAGTCGGGTCAAGCAGCGGTGCCGGGTTTTCGACAAGCTGCCTGTCACCATGGGACTGGAATACCTGGGTTTGGATGCCGTGGGATGGCATCGAATGACCACGACGTGGTGGGATAAGGTACTTTGGATTCCTCTCCCCTGGGAAAATCAAAACAAATCCCTTGTCCCCTGTCGTTTTTCTGACAGTCGCAACGTTTAGGTGATAGCAGCATGTTTATTAACAACTATTGTGCTTGGTGCCGTGTTCGTTTTGAGCTTCATAGCTCGGAAGATCTACAGAGTCTGGCAGGTATGTCGTGCTGTCCTCCATCATTTTTATCGCCGTGAGGAATGCGCTGATTATTGGCTTTTGCGGTGGGAGTTCAGAGGCGGCATCAACTCTCCGAGGTCCCAACGGCCATTGCCCGTTATTTGGACCAACTCAAAACAAACAATGCCCCCCTTGCGTCGGAGAAACCGCCCGCGAAGGAGCTTAAATCTTTTGGTGTTTTTCTCGGCGGATTTTCCAATCCTCCGACACCTGCCGAAGGCCATCTGCTTTCGCAATGGGATATTCTCGTCGTAGATCCCCTCCAAACCGGGGTCTTGGAAGCGCTCGCCGGCCACTGCACGTCATCGCACATTCTTGCTCGCCTTGACGTTCGAAGTCTAGTGCGCTCTGATGCTTGTCGCAACAATGATGAAGCCATCCAAGCCCTGGAAACAGTGGTCCAGACGATGTCCACTACTCTCAAGCGCGGCCAAAGCAGCGCATCGCCTTTTCACGGAGTACTTTTGGCCGACTGCTACGCGCATTTTCAACCCGTGATCCTGAATGAACTGATCAAGTACATGAACCACCTTGGCCTAGCCGTATGGCTGGAATTGGCGCCACCGGCCTACCTCAGCGAGCAGCAAGGTCGGGCCATTAACATGCAGCAAATCCGTGGCGTGGTTTACCGAAATGGCACGATTCTGCAAAATGGAGACAGGCGCAATTATTTCCAGATGGCCGAGATGCGTACTGCCATGCGGGCCGTGGCATCTCAGAAAGCTGTTGGCGACTCGGCTATTGCCCTGTGGGATACGATTGACGATGACGTCGAGCTCTCTCACCACGTTCTCGGACGCAGCTTCAAGTGGTGCAACTACAACAGTGCCTTGTGTTGGATCGCGCCCCAGTCTGCTTTAACGAATGCAGATATTGCTGTCACAAAAACAGTGACACAGGAGCCCCTGGGGGCTATGATGTGGCTGAAGCGCGGCGAAGTTTTGGAAGCGCATGATGTTTGGAGGCTGAATGACAAGGCAAGCGCCCTTATGTGAATTTGGTACAGGGGACCGAATTGGAAGCTGACTATCTCCGACAGATCCGCCAAACGCCATGCGGATATGACGAAATGTACGAATCGCTAGAGTCCTTTGTCCCTGACCTGAGAGCAAAGCTTGCCCTGTTACCCCCAGTGAAAACTCGATTGTCTGATAGTGCTGGTACGGTGATCGAGGGGCTCGAATGGTCTGGAAGAACCGAAAGTTCACAAATTGATACCCTTTCCGTTTCCCCTGCTGGAGCAAGCTATACCGGACTCGCATGCTTTCAGATCGGTCTGGATTGCACATCCAAGGATGTCACCGACCTCGTCGAAGGCCAAAGACAAGTTAGGGACCTTGATTTGCTTCAACGTCTCAATGCAGAAGATCTTCGTCAAATTACTGAGCCATTGCGCACGTTGCTGAAGGCCCAGAGCTCACACACGTATCTTGCATCGGAAATGCAATCAATTAAGGACTTGGTTGACCTCCTCACGGTTTGCAGAGGCGACGACAATGACCGTCTTCGAATTTACGTCGGCTTGCATTCGGGCTTCCGCACTCGACTGGGAAGCCAGATTTGGGGCCTGCACGATCTCGATTCCAGCATGGGCGTGCTAAACATTTATCTGTCGGGAAAGACACAGGACCGCACCGGAACTATTCTCCACACTTATCTGGCCAACAGAGGGTTTAGCCGCTCTCGTTGCTTCCTGGCAGAGATGGCCTTGGCCGCAGAGAACCAGACATTATCGCAAACGTGGGGCTTGCCTAAGCGCATGGTGGATGATATCGAACAGCTTACTCCGGCAGAATCTCTGGCCTGGCTGCGACGACTGGCCTTGTCAGGCCATGAGGACCCTATGAAAATGTCTGCCAAGCTACGCGCCTGTGCCGAATATCAACTTCTGGAAGCCCCAACTCTCGCACAACTCCGTGCTCAGTGCTCAAGTGAGTATCTCGATGGAGAGATCTCCGCAGCAGAGCTGGTATCTTCCCGCCTGGCATGGTTCAGGGAACAGGGCTGTTGGTGTCCCGATGCTTCGGCTGCCGAAGCGCTGTTCCTCGAGATCGATGCTCGGTTGCCAGTTCTTCTTATGAACGGAGAGGCAGAAATTCTCGACCAACTAGCCACAGTTGTCGAGTCCATTCTTCAGAAGGGCACTATCGACGCTGGAGCGGATCTTCTAGCTCTGAGCGTTTTCTGCGCCTTCCGTCGACTTGCTTTAAACGAGATCTACCTTGAAGTCCTTGACCGCAACCCCCTACCGAACCTCGAGCCGGTGCAAGCAGCGTGTTTTGCTGAGATGTATGCCTGTGGTGCCCGCACAGATATGTACTTTGATATGACGCCGAAACGCTTGGGTAAGATTATCTGGCGTTGGTACCGCGCATATTATCACGAGCACCAGCCACCTCAACGAGAGGAAATTTTCACCGAGCTGCCCACGGCGTATGCCTCCATGAACGTCGATTTGGACCCAGAGGGTGAGAAGGACACTGCAGCGTGGCACTACCGATTGACATTCCTGGGAATCTTTGCAGTCCCTGCACTCATTGATGTCACCTTGCTGACAACGGTCGGTCGAGGCCTTTATTTGACCACTTACATGAGTGACATTGACAAAACACTCGCCACTACGGCGTTGATGATCGCCCTTCTCGTCTGTGGTGGTTTTGGTAGCTGGATCAGTTCCGGTGGAAGCTACTACTTGTACGCGATGGCGTTCCCAGCTATGAGCATGTTCATCCTGACCCGCTTTATTGCTGGGTTGGCAGTGGCCTTCGTCGGTGGCATTATCGCGTTGATCGTTGTTGGCGTACTGAAAGGGTTTGCAGCAGGCATCCTGTTTTTCCTTTACTTCTTTATGCTGTCGACGTACCTCATGACCCTGTCAGCCTTGTCGGTCTACCAGCTGCCAGGATACCAATTCCAATCGGTAAGTTGATCTTCGCCCGTGACTCCTCCGCACCGCATGCCACTACTTCGTTGTTTGTGCAGAGTAACTGACCATAATACTAGGGACGAACGACAGTCATGTGTTGCATTCCGATCCTCTTCATTTCACCAATAGTCACCCTGTGGGTGCATCGCGACTCGGTCATCTACCTGTGCATCCTAGGCCTGTTCCTCGCGTGCCTACTTCTAGGGGCTCGGCGGGTCATGGCTCGCTGGAATAGCTGGTATCTGAATATTCCTTGCGTCACGGACACAGAAATCGTCAATTGGTACATGCAATCTTCTGCATCGGACTACCGCGGATCTTCCACCGAAAAGGTGAAAGACGTTGGTGCAGATGCTCGCCGGGCCCTCCTGTCGAGCGTCCAGAAAGAAAACAAGAAATGGTTTTGGAGCAAGAAGACGACAGACCCGTTCATCGCGAGAATGGCCGAAGGCTATTCATCCACAACCTTCCTGCTTGGATGGTACTGCCGCTACTCGAGAACAAAGATGCCTTTGGCGTACAGCCCAACATGGAACTTGCAACTGAAAGCGGCGGTGGATACCATGGCGGAGATGCAAAAGGGCCTGAAGATGCACAACGCGTTTCTTCACTGGCGCCACACCGGGTCTGATGTCTGGTGTGGAATCTTATACTTTGTCGTCGCTCTGTCCGATAAATGGTCTGCACTGCTGACAGGCGAATCAATCGTCGGTCTGTCTGCAGCGAACAGCGCCAAGTACCGTCTCACGGTCGGCTTTGCTCTCGGATATTATCTTTTGGGTGCAGTCATCCTTGACGCCGTTTCGCAGCCACTCTGGACCCTTGTCACGAAGGCAACTCCTCAGCCTGTCACCTCGCTTGCCAGCCTTCGCCAGGTAACCCTCAATGATGCTAAGGCTCGACGGAGCCTTTACTGGAAGAACCTCATGAAGTTCTTCTTCTTGCATATTTGGGGTGCAGCCATCACGATGGCGGTTATGTGGACTTTCGAGGGGTCCATGAGCTCCACCATCATGTATTTGTGCTATGTTGGCTGCTATACTGGATTGCTCTGGTATCAGTACAACCGGATCTTCACAGGGCCTCATGTCGCTGGTGGCCTCGCTGTTGGTTCCATTGCCGGATTGGTTGTAGGGATTATCCTTCACGAAGTACTTCCCGCTTTCCAGTGGAGCAGTGTTATTGGCCTTGCCACTGGCACCTGGGGAACTGCGATCTACACTATTTTCAGGGCCGACATTGGGCTACCATCCTTCAAGCGATCAGACGACGGATCTCCGCGCTTTGGGGCACGAGATAAATCAGTGCTCTACGGTGTCAGCACTCTCGAGCCACATCCTGATCTCTCCCAGACAACTATGTCGCAAATGTTCGAAAACGTTCTCATGCTGTCCGAAGAGTTCCGCTACAAACTTGATCCCGCACAGCATCCTGGTGTTGAAGTTATGCAAATTTTGCGATCTGATCGCCATATTCATAAACCAGAGATTGTCCAAGCCGCTTTCCATGACGCAAAAGACCTTCTTGGACGCGTTGCAGAACTCTGGCAAGCCGGGGAGATAACCGTTGAACTAGTCTCAGCCGCACACCTTATCCAACCGGAACAGAAGATCCGTGCCATCAGCCGACAGACAGGAGATCACGTTCACATTTTCATTGTTATTGGCCCTGATCTCGTGGGATACGACTGGGCATCAGACATCCGTCGCAACTGTCAGACAATCGCGGAAGCGGTCGTTCAAGCCACTGCAGAGTTCAAACTGGGCCTTTCCCATGATCATGCCCTGATGGCAGAGCTTCTGATCGTGAACGACCGGCAGGGCGAGGATGTAACCTTACCCGAGGGCGTCAAGCGTCAGCTGGAAGGCAGCTCGACCGAGCGCACTAGAGTTCTCAACCACGGACAGCAAGTACTATTGCGCCACATCCTTTTTGGGATGGATTGCGACCAGGAATGGGACCTTCTTCCTAAAGCTGCGAGAAAGTTGCTCCTGCGCCGGACCTGTGGACAACCATGCCGTGTCACTCCTGAACAGAATGACTGGCTCATCTCCAGAGCAAATGACACGCTATATCTCGAAGAATTTCTTGCTCGGTGGAATTTGGGATTTAAGCTGACAGCTAGCGTGATCTCATTTGCTGCCGCCCAAGAAACACATCGCCAATCTCAAGATCGACCGGACTTCATGAACACTAAGTACGACAAGCCCATTCGTGATTTGCTTGCACTCAATGAACACACGCCAACTATCGGATTTTATGAAGCGCTCCGGCTTTCATTTGCTCGGATAGTGCATATCTGGAATGCGTGCCTCAAGTTTCTTGTCATCTCCTTGGTAGCGGACCCGGAATATCAAAGAGAGTTAGACTCAATGCTTCGCGGACAACCCTTGGTGTTTGCCTGGCCCATTAACTTGATTCTGAACGGAGTCTGGGTAACTTGCAAATGTCTGCAACGTCTCATCATCCCCTTGGTATTGTTACATGGACGGGAGAAGGTCTCCACACTCTACCGGAACATGAAGGATTGGAAGACGGTAGTCCACCAGGACCGGGTTATCGTAGAGAGTCTGAGTGGTATCTCGACCGGTTTCTTCCAAAACGAATCAGATGGCACAGTCCAGCTCTATCAATACTCAGGACGTCATGAGCACGAACCAAGTGATTACAAACAACTCATGGCTATCAACACGTACACTGACAAGCTTGTCCTCTCAAGACGCCAGGAATACCGCGGTGAGACTCTGCTCAATGAGTTCACATATGAGTATCCACAAGATAATAGAGGTGGGCGGCCGAAGTTGCCTACCCAGCGACAATGTACTCAGGGCGAACTGAGCGGCCAGATAGTCCATTACGACAAGCGCGGTTATATGACCTCAGGATCAGCCATGCGTGGTGTGAATCGACTGGAGTTCAACTTTTGGTACCGCAAAGGGGCCAAATTTGAAGACGAGCTGTTGCGCGCCGACTATGTCCTCCCACATATCAAGATCCAGGTGGCCTGGTGTATGCCTCCTCCAAACCGACCAGAGAGACTGGATAAATGGATTCCTTATCCTCGTGTCACGGATGCAACCTTCATTCAAGGAGATGATACCCATAAGGCTAAGTGGACTTATGACCACAAATTCCATCCGGTCATCGCAACAACATTGAACGGTGAATCTGTCACCACCCCTGCGATGATTCATGAGGACTGGTTCAAGGTATTGCAAAAGCCCACCAAGTGCAGCTTCTTGGACGACAATCCCCTCTTCTCCTTTTCTTCTACTAAGGTGAACTTCCTATCGCGTTTGCTGGGCTGGAATGTCAAACGGTATCCAATTCCCACCTCCCGTGCCCGTACTCATCTCTGGAAGTCATGGAAAGGAAGTAAGGAGTTTGACGCAATTACGGCGCGATGGCTTGACGAGACTATGCTACGGTCTGACCGTGTGCTCAAGCCATACTGGAGAAGACGAAACCTGGGTCAGCTGGAAGCTGCGGCCGATTATCTGGATGCTCAAGCTGATACAGTTCTCGCTCGGGTGGACATTGACCCTGAGGTCAGCTCTTGGACACCGTTAGCTTTCAAGATCAGTGACCTCTCAAGCTTCGGGCAAGGAGGTGATTCGCGTATCAACACTCGCACGCTCTCCACCCAGCTACAGGACAGCGACACAGAGCTACACGTCCTCGCCATGGATACCGGTACTTGGCCCAATGAGCCCGGTGGTGTGTCAGCTTGTCGACGCGATATGGTCAACGACCTTAAGGGGATCCGTTGGCACATTGTGGCTGAAGCAGCGAATGACTATGGTGTGCCTAGGTTCCAGATCGAAAGAAACGTCCAGTCGCTGGCCGTGCTGCCCCAGTGGGGTTTGGATTTCATGAATCCCACCCATGGCATGTTCCAGAACACACTTGACTCAGAAGTGGTGCAAAAGTCTTATGATACGAGGGTTGCGGATATCGAACGCAACTTCCTACCTATCCTAACCAGCCTTGTTCGTTGTGCGCGATCTATGAACAAATCCCGGGCACTCATCGAGGAAGCCACCAAGGCTTTGGTGGATCTCAACACATACTTCGAATCGACTCGGAACTGGAATGATGTGTGGATGAGTGACACGGTGAAGGAGGCCTGGCGAGAATTATGGTTGACCGAGGATATGGAAGACACAATCCCCGTGTCGGAGTGGTGGAACTGCGAATACCCGACCCTGCAGCAACTGGATACGGCCCTGGATATGTGGCATCGCTGTTAGTTACCTCCCGATCCAACTGTTATGATTACACTGACGTTGCGTTCTAGACCTTTTCATTTTCTCAATCCCTGTTCCCGAACGGATTCCCGACGTTTTCCAGGTGTCGCATCACTTCACCGGCGCCACGTACGGCGTGATGTGTAAGGTCAAGCGCAAATGTGCCCTCCACGTCTGGGATCACTGTGTCAGCTTCCGAGAGATGACTACATTCCTGTCGGCCGCTGTTTCCTTCGACTCGACGTTCGTGAATTCGACGCTCATCTCTTTGGGTCACCTCGCCTGTATCCTCATCGAGCACCATGCGGACGTTGTGCTGCCCTGCGCCGAGTATTTCAATCCCGGCTGGGAAGTCGAACTGGGCACATGTGAAGGTGTTTTAGAACACCGTCGCGCCTTCCAGCGTAAGATTGATCCGGTGGTGAACGGTATCACCAACATGGAGAAGTATAAGCCTATTGAGAAGATCAAGACCGAAACACCCACCGTAGTCATGTTGTCGCATATTCGGTATGTGGTGATTTTATTATTCTCCGTTTGTCTGATCGTCCACTAACCCGCATAATAGTTATGTAAAAGACATCAAGACAGCCATCATGGCTACAGACCTGATCGTTAACCAGTGGGGATTCAAAGACTACCGCCTTCACATTTACGGTGACATGGAACGAGCTCCTGGGTACGCATCGGAATGTCAGGAGATCATTGCTTCCAAGTCGCTTCGAGACCACGTTGTTCTCAAGGGGTTGGGTAACCCATCCGTTGTCCTTCAAGATGGGGTAGGTGTTTCCCTGTCACCCTGTAGCACCTTATTCGATTAGTACTAATATTAATTATAGTGGCTATTCATGAACTCCTCCACATCTGAAGGTCTTCCATTGGCGATGGGAGAGGCTGCACTAACGGGTGTTCCCGTGGTATGTACAGATGTCGGTGCCTCATTCTGTGTTGTCATGAACCGCGACACGGGCAAGAAGTTCAGTGAAGTCGTACCCCCCAACGATGCCTTTTCCCTTGCATCGGCGCAGATACGGGTCATGGCACTCCTTGGAGAGTGGAGCAAGTTCGCGGGTGATGAGGAGGGCTACGTGCCCCCGTCTCTGGGCTTGCGCCCATCACCCGAAGAGGTGGAACAGATCTCCCAGCGTATGTACGAGAAGGTGGAACAACGTCGCCAATTTGGCATGCAAGGTCGGGCGAACGTGCTCAAGAGCTTTTCCAGTCACCGTTATCTCCGAGAGCACGAGCAGATGCTCTGGCTGGGCAAATACCAGAGCGAGAGCTACGTCGCTCGTTCCTCCTTGTCCTCCAGCGGTTCCAGTGGGTTCTTCAAAGAGCGTGTTACGGTCGAGCAGATCAACGAACCCTTACTACCTCCTACTCCTCGGTGGCCAGGTGCCAGACGGGAGTCGCGCCGTGGCTACTTTGGGTACAGCTCATCTAGTACCCAGTCTCTTTGTTGAGGGAAAACGACATGTCAATGAGCAAGCAATTGGAGAAAGGTCTCGAGTGAGATAGGTCAGGAGCTGTATATAGAATCATTATTCCTGTCATTCACTAGTACTTAGACTTAATGAACATAATGTTAATAGACCACTTGGTACATAACACCTGGCTGGAGACTTAGAAAAGCTGTTTTACCGGATTTGAGGAAAGGAGTCATTCGAACTGTAGAGCACAACCCGTCAATGGAGGGGGCATGTGAAGAGTTGGAGGAAGGAATGAAGGAAACGAGAAGGAATGACACGCGTGAATCCCATTTACTCGCGATCAGGTGATACGGAGGTTGGCCTTGTTTCTCAGGTCCTATGTCCAGTTCTACGCCGGAACATACAGCACTGCTGGAGCGAGCCGGAACTTGGTCCAGTAGCATGTTCCCATGTGCGCTTTGAAAGCCTATGGTGGTCATGATGTATGAATTGTTACTTACTACCCATCTTACGCTTCTGCGAATTGGACGAGTTTAACGGAGAAGCACAGATACTACTCAAGATACAGGTAACGCCTTCATTCCTGCGCCAAGCTTCTACTACCCAATTCACCCCTGAAGTCCCCCTCAAGAGAAGTAATGATACATAACAATTGGCCACCAAAATTCCAAAATGTACGTGGTCCATTATACACAGTCCTCGACATCCAGAAGGACCGGACTGCACCCGTTTCAGTTACTGCAAGTCTCAGTCAGCAGATTTCAAACTGGCATAAACGAACTCGCACTCCAACCAGGAAGAAGACGAAGAGAACAATGGAAAGCAACATACAGGAGCTGGAGCGTAAGATCACCATGAATCTTAGCCTTGAGCTGTACCTCAACGTCCAAATTCAAATCTAGACGCAGGCGCAGCTGTTCATCCTTCTTCTTCCCAACTTCCTGTTGTCCCTGCTGCTGGACTTGAGTGTCATTTCTACCCCCCATAATGCTTCGGCCCAGTGCCTTTCCGGCCGTGTTGCCGAGCGTGCCGACAGCCCTGCCGGCGGTGTTCTGGGCCAAGTCGCCAACACCTTGGGTGAGGTTCCCTGGCACATCCCCTACATTGCCTAAAGCAGGCAGCGCCAGCGCTTGTTGCTGTTCACGTTGCTGGCGTCTCATATCTCCTCGCTGGCCGCGCCGACGGGTCTGTCGATAATATGCGTCTGCGCTGGCAGGGGTGGATGATGATGGAGAGGATACACTCTCGGTCACTGATATGACGGATCGCTGCCGTTGCAGTGGCTGCTGTTCTGGTTGGAGTTGTGGCTGTTCTCCTTCACTCCAAGATGTGGATCGAGTATCCCGGTCAATTTGTGTTTCTTCAGTGTCTGGGGACGGGTCCATAGTCTCAGTTTCCTCTGGCGCTTCTGCTACTGCTGCTTCACCCGCCTTCGCTGCTTCTGCAGGCGGTTGCTCAGGTTCTGGGGCAGGATCCACCGATTTTGATGCGTCCGATGGACCACCTCGTCGCTGGAGCTTTGGCGGCTTTCGCACCCGATCGGGATTTGAACTGGAAGGCACGTTCTTTTGTGCGTCGATGGTTGGACTCTGTTCTACAGCGTCTGCCATTGGCTAAGTAATGGACTGTAGATACGATCGACAGAATATGATCTGTGGTGCGATGGGTAGATTAATGGTTATATAGAATAAACAGTGGTCATTTACCATACAGAATGGAAGGTCACGAATGGCGAAAGAGAATATCCATCTGTTAGGTGTGAGGCGAATGTGAACTGATGTCATGGTCCAATCCCAAGGGGCGATACGATGTCATCCGGGGTTCCCCCTTCTTGTGTTCCAGGGTTCCGGACGACCTTTAGAGTGGACGCGCATTCGGATTTCCTTTATTAACCGGGTCAGCCCGTGATGATGGAATTATTCAATGCATTCAATAGGGCTTAGACAACGGTTCTTTGGTAGCCATGACCCACTGTGCGGTCATCGGTGTCGGCGCTGCGACTGTACCTTCTGGACTCGGCGCGTACATTCTTTGCGAAGTTCGCCTCCGTGATCGTTCTATACATTAATACCAATTCCTTCTCGTCTGTCCCTCCTCAATATTACCCTTTATCGCAGTTTTAACATCTCAAGGAATCCGGAAATACTACCGACGACGACAAGAAACACCGTTAGTTGTGATCTATCGACAGAAACAGCGGCGAAAGACCAGCGACTCCCAAGCCAATATGGCCCAACCCGCAAATCCGCAGCCATCACCAGCTCTGCCAGTAAGAACACGGGAGCAGCAACGAACTCGAAGAAAGAGAGGGAATGTGCTCGACGATCGTGTTCATCCCAATACTTCGACCGCACTACAGCCAGTGCGACGCCAAGCATCGCGTTCACCCTCTCCCGCCACCGATGAAGAATCAATCCTGGCAAGGGAACAAACGAGGCAAAGAGCACGGGGAGACCTAGCGAAGAGAGATCCGGCTGGACAGGAGATGACCCAACCATCGGAGGAAGAGGATACCGGGCTTAAGTTACGGTTGGAATTGAATCTGGATGTTGAGGTCGAATTGAAGGCGAAGATTCATGGTGATCTTACGCTAGCATTGCTGTGAGTTCTCCTCAGCGCTCGTCCATCTTAGTACCCTACCCTTCGAATATGCGAGTATGCAAAGTACTAATTCCGCGCAGATCCTAGGGAATGCAGGTGGCTATTTGTAGATAATATATTGACGAAGATTAATCCTGTTGATATTGCACATATCGCACTGAGCCTAATGTTCACAGCATGTATATGGCAGCGTCATGGCATGTACCTCGAAGGAACACCATTTTTTCAAAATTACAAGGGTAGACCGGTAGACTTGACTAACGATCCACTCAATATTGTGATGAGAATATCGAATATCGTTCATAACCAGAGTTAAATTCAAAGAATTCCCGATGTGGGATGGAGCTGATCCACGGACAAGTTGCATAGATAACCAAGCATGGCCAACTACAGCTATTAGGCGTCAGATCGCAGCTGCCTAAACCACATCCAAGATCCTCCATCATCGATAGCTCGTACACTAGATGATATTACCACTGTCGCAACCTCGACAATGTCCTTCAACCGAACTTTACTTAGTTGACTAGACCCCATCCCGCCCACTCGTACCGCGGCACTGGGTTCAAAGTTCGTCGCCCATCGCGAGGAGCAGCTGGGATAGTGAACCGAGCCATAGTGCGCATCATGAAGGCGAAACTTTAACCAGGCTAACCCCCGTGTACAGACCGACCAAATGATTCATGGGCTCAGAATGCATGGGATATATGATAATGGTTATCCACCTAGATACGTCATGCGGCCCTGGCCGACAGTAAGGGAAGTTATATACGGGAATGGGGAACCAAGTAGTTGTATAAGTGCGGGGAAGGTTTGGCGTCTCCAACGGTAAAGACGATCAGGCAGTGGTAGCCGATTTGTTTCCTCACCATCCCACGGTTTGCAAGCGCCCCTCACCCAGAAATTTTAAACGTGGAGGAGATCATAGCTTTCAGAAGACTTTTTGAGGGCACAGCCTCGTATTTCTCGGTACCTGGTGATCAGATCGGAATGACGTCTGAGTGATCGTGCTGATGTGGATCTGATCGATCTTTACAAACAGATCGACGATCAGGCAATGAAGATAGATGATATATAGTTACTCAAGGTGCTCCGCAGTTCTGTAGTGAGTTTGAACATCGTTCTATCTAGCCACTACAGTTTCTATCATACTATCTATTTTCTCCGACCAGAAAGATCAAAGACACCGTAAAAACTTCTGGAATCTACAACTGTGCGGCGTTGGCGCAGCCACTGACGCGAATTCCACAATGGCAGCTACCCATGAGGATGTAAGGCAGTTGGAGTCGCTGGGAAAAGGAGAGACTCTCAAGAAACCGTCTGCTGTACGCAAGAAGGCCCCTCCAAAGCTTGCGAAGCTAGATAAGAAAGAGAAAGTGGAAAAGCCTACCTTAGGTGAGTCAGCCATACACTAGGTTTGGCAATGGGTGTCTAATCGTTCAATAGCTGAGAAACCCGAAGAACAAGGGGAGACTGAGAAAGTGGGAGATGTTAGTGCTGGAAAAACACCTGAAGCGGGTCTAGAAGAACAGGTTGGGCAGGTGGAGGATAAAGCAGGCCGGGCAGGAGAAGAAGCAAAAGAAGAAGCAGAAGAAGGACTGGAGGGAGAGGACATGGAAGGAGAGGACATGGAGGAAGAGGAGGAGGAGGAAGAGCCGGAGCAGCAACGTGGGCCTCTCGAACAGAGAGAAGCCATGCCGCCAGATACTGCGGCAGGTTCTTCGTCCACTGCGGGGCTAGTGGACAAGGGTAAGGCAGCGGCCGTGCAATTGGGCCAGGTTGGCAAGGGCATTCAATCCATGAAGGATCAGGTCCCCACTGGAATGGTGGATCAAGTCCAACAGAAGGCCGAAGAAGGTGTGCAAGAGCCCACCGAGGGAATGGTAGAGCCTGAGAAAGAAGCAGGTCTTGGAGATGCCGTACCAAAGCCAGATATATCGGAATTGAAGGAAGCGGCAATGGGCCTCGGGGACCTGAAAGGCCTCTCGGTTGGTGAAGGCGGGAACATTGTCAATGCAGAGGGAAAAACCATCGGGAAGGTTGTTGAAGGCGATCCAGCTGACCTTGTTGGTCAGATTGTTGATGATGATGGAGAGATTCTGGACGAGGATGGAGACTTGATTGGACGTGTTGAAGTCGTGACTGAAAAAGTCGATGAACTTCCCAAGGCCGAAGAACTGGCGGAGAAGCCGCAATTGCCAGATATATCGACTCTCGAAGGCCTAAAATGTACCAAGTTCGGCAGTATTCTGGATGCTCACGGCAACCTAGTTGGGGAGCTGGTCGAAGGCGATGCGAAGAGGCTCTTTCGAGGAGGGTTTGAGCTGGACGATAAGGGCCAGTTCTGGGATCACCGAGGAAATGTTATTGGCAAGGTACAGCCTGTTCTGCCGGAGACGGAAGAAACCAGCATTTTCGAAGGAATGAAGGATCTGTATGTTGACAAGGAGGGGTGGGTGCTAGATGACAACGGTCAACGCGTTGGACAGGTAGTTGAAGGGGATGCCAAAAAGCTCGCGGGTCGCGCGGTTGATGAGGACGGCGATATTCTCGATCGACATGGAAACCTGCTGGGCCGTGCAGAGCCCTGGCAGGAGCCAGAAGAAGTTGCAGAAGAGGCGGTGGAGGAGAAGAAGCCGGATCTCAGTTCTCTGGAAGGGCTCAAGCCCACCAAGCTTGGCCTCGTGATCGGGCCGGACCAAGTCCCTCTGGGCAAAGTCGTTGAGGGTGATCCCAAGCACCTTGCCGGCCGAACCATTGCGTCGGATGGTCTCATCTGGGGCGACAATGGGGAGGTCATTGGACAGGTGGACCTGATCCCCGAGAATGAGCGGAAAGACCTCAGCCGGCCATTCCAGGGATGCATGGACCTGATGGTGAATGGGTCTGGCTGGGTGGAGGATGGCGACGGGAACATCGTGGGTCGCGTGATAGAAGGGGATCCCGAGAAGCTCCAGGGATATGATGTCGACGAGGACGGAGAGATTGTGGACCAGCATGGGACCGTCTTGGGGCGAGCTGCACCATGTGAACCCCCCGCTGAGGAGGTGGAGGCACCCGATCTGTCTGTATTAGCCGGCAAGGTGGTAAACAAGATGGGCAACGTCGTGGATACGAACGGAGTGGTTTTTGGACGGTTGGTGACAGGCAATCCTCGAAAGCTGGCCGGCAAGTCCGTGGATGAGCAGGGCCAGGTTTGGGATGCTGCAGGCCACGTTGTCGGCCAAGCCGAGCTCATTCCCGATGCCGAGCGAGAGCGGCCAGAGGGCCCTTTCAGCGGCCTGGATGGCTTAACGGTGAATAAGGAGGGACAGGTTGTCGATCCGAACGGCACACCGGTCGGTCGTCTAGTTGAAGGAGACGCTCGACGCCTAGCTGGGCGCGCCGTGGACGATGATGGGGAGGTCCTTGACTCGGCTGGGAATTGCATCGGCCGGGCTGAGCCATGGACTGCCCCCGAGGAACCGGTCAGTCCCATGGCTGGCCGTAAAGTTAATCGGGAGGGAGAGGTCCGCGATGAAGATGGTAATCTCATTGGCAAGCTCACCCAGGGAGAACTGTCGAACCTCATCGGCCGAACGATTGATAAGGATGGCTATGTCGTGGACAGTGCCGGCAATAAGATCGGGGAATGTACCCTGCTGGAGAATTTGCCTCCAGAGCCAGAGCCCGAGGAACCGGAAATGTCCCCCGAGGAGCGCGAGAAGCTGGCTCAACAGGAAGAGGAAAATGAGCTGGCCAAAAAGATGTGCTCCATTATTCAGCAGGCTTTAGATTCCTTGGAACCCATGTGTCGCATGATCACTCAGGTAAGCACTCTTTTCCATCCATGAGCATCTTGTAGGTGAATCATCTTGCTAATGCTGAATCCAAACAGCATATTGAAAAGGCCAATAGTACACCCAAGGATGAGCTGGATGAAGAGGCACTGGTCAAGGAGGTGAAACCGCTAATCGAAGAGGCTGGCACCATTTTGCAGGAGTGTAAGGGAGCCCTGCGAGCCTTGGATCCGGATGGTCACATTGCTGCCAATGCCAAAGCCCGCAGTGCTTCCCAAGAAGCCACCCCACAGGAGCACCATCTGGCCGAACTACTGAAGGACTTGACCAAGCTAGTGACAGAGACGATCGAACGGGGTAAGAGTCTGATTGCCGACATGCCCCATGCGAAGAAAGAGATCAACCCGCTCTGGGCGCTGTTGTCGGAGCCTTTGTTCCAGATCATCGCGGCCGTCGGTCTCTTGCTCAGTGGCGTTCTCGGGCTTGTGGGCAAACTTCTGAACGGTCTGGGTCTGGGAAATCTTCTTCAGGGGCTCCTCGGTGGCTTGGGGGTGGACAAGCTTCTCGAAGGTCTGGGACTGGGGACCATCACGCAGGGAATCGGGCTGGGTGGGAAGAAGAAGTAGTGCTGTATATCTCTATGGATTGGACTTCTCTAATCTGTCTGATTCGGGCGATTATGTGTCTTTTCAGTGATATCTTCATTGAATGGTTTCACTGCTTTGCGAACAGGGCGTGAAAGCGAGCTGGGAAGTGGAGGGAAGAAGGATTCGGAAAGTCTGTTTCCAGCGATTCCGAGTGGCTGCAGGAAGGGATTTCCGACGGTTGGCCCTGATACACGCAAGGGCCCCGTCAGAGGTGTAATATCTTTAAAATGATCTTAGCCGCCAATACAAGACACTTTGTCACATGAAATGCACTTATCTTTCCTGACTGATAGAAAAGGGCGCCAACTAGAAATGACATCAACATACATGGGAGCCTCGTGGGAGTGGCTCAGCACTGCCCCTTCAGCTCTACAGCAAGACACTCGCTAGGTGCACTAGTCAGTGAATGCCAATCGAGCTACCCAACAGCCATACAAAAGCATTGTGTGATTTACTATCTGTTGGCTTCACTGACTGACGTGGGCCAATGGTGTTGCTCAGGTCTACTTAACCACCGCAGCGACGCGCCCACAAGGCGCTTTCCCTCTCTTTCCCCTCATCGTCTCTCCTGCTGCGCAAGGCTGAGGCAGCTAGTGCCAGTCGAAAGCTCTGCTACTTTTACCATCCAGAACTCTCACTTATTAGTACTTGTTTTCTACCTTCCTTCCGGTTTTGTTCAGTTGTGTTACTCTTTTGTGTTATTGAACCTCGCCGTCTCCTCACCTCCGTGGTAACTCCCAGACTGCATCCGGATATCTCCCTTTGCATATTCTGCACTGACATCTACTCGTTTGTCTATTTGACCTATTTACTAGCCCTGAAAGATCCCTTTTTGTTCATTTGAAACAAAAAGAGAGATACGGATTTGCATATACACCGTTATGGCCAACCAGAAGTGAGTGCAAGTCACTCGCAGACAATCTATACAGATCAATCACTGACTTACCGGCTCCAGGATCTGTCGCAATTTCGCTCGAGATGGAAAATGCAGGTTTCGACCCTGCAAGTTTTCGCACGATATTCCCCGCGACAACAACCGACATGCGCCTCACCAAAAGACGAAGAGAGCCGAGCCACCAGCTTCCAGCGAGAGCGACTTTCGCGCCTGGAGACGACACCTGTGGGACCCCAACCGGGATTATCCCTTGGGCCATCGGCTGGGGACCTTTCTGCAGGAAGCACAACGCCTCATCGATCAAGATGTCGGGGTGCAGCAAGAAGTAATCCGCGCCCTGGCTGGGGAAGGCGGCCTGAAGCGTATGAAGGAGTTGATTGACGAAAACATCCTGACAACCCGGTCGCCTACACAGAAGTCGGCCATCTTCACGCAGCAGGTGTTGCCTTTTCTAAGCATCGTAACTCACCCTGGTGTGCGGGACTCCCTGGTCCTCGAACAGGCTGTTGGAACGATCTATGCGTTTCTCTACGGTGTGGCGGGCAGACGGGCACTGGACCTGCTAGGCTTCCTGGCAGACATCCTATCATCCGACAAGGACCAGGTCAAGGAGACTCAGATCGACCACCTCGAAATGTCCCTTGTGGCTTTCTGGCACATACTTGAGCTGAATTCAGAGGCGTACATCCATGAGGGCCTCAAGCTGTTGGCCAACAAGTTCCAGTCCATTGTGAAAGAGTATGAAGACTTGCACGTGCAGAGCGCCCTGTACAAGGTCAAGGTCTCGATGCAACGGATCCTGCATCGACTCAGTATTGGCGCTGCACTCCCAAGCGTAGCCTCCTCTGAACAGCCAGCCGCCCAAGGCGACAAGCTACCCTCATCATTCATCGTCCACCGTACTCCGCCGGGAGGACGCCACGATAATGATTCGGCAGACATCTGCGACATTCAGATCCTGCCCACGTCTGAAGAGATTCTATCCCCTCATACCGAATATCTGCCCGTGAAGGACCCTCGACAGTGGCATATCGGCGGTGTCGCTGGGCTCCTGGATCGCAACTTCCGATTGCTCCGTGAAGACACGGTCGGGCAGTTGAGAGACGCCATCCACAATCAGCTTCGCCCCACAACGATAACGCACTCAGGTCGTAGTAACCAACTCCGGACCTACGCATATTCGAACGTCAAGGTAGCTTCCTTGTCCTTTGATCGACACGCGGGGCTGCAATTTGTGATCCGGTTCCGTCAGCTGGCGCAGGTGCAGGGGTTGGGTGTCAAACAGCGCGAGGAATGGTGGAACCAATCTAAGCGCCTACAGAGTGGTGCCCTTGTATGCCTATTTGATCAGCGTGGAGAAGACGTTCTCTTTTGTACGGTGGCTGAGCCGCCCAGGTTGCCGCCCGGCACCCCTAAGCCCAAGGACCCCCCTTCTCTCTGGAAGGAGAAGGATGTCGCAACGGTCGCATTGGAATTCATCGACCCTACAAACCATCATGTGCAGTTTGTTCTGGATCGATATCGTCCGCGTGGCACAGTCTCACCGGTCACCCTGGTGGAGTTTCCCGGCATTCTGCTACCAGCTTTTGCCCCAACATTACGCGCGCTTCAGAAGATGAAGCGCAGTGAAGACCTGCCGTTTGCGAATCTGTTAGCTCCAGCGTCCTCCGAGAATTGGGACCAAGTGACACAAGTGCATCCGCCGGCGTATGCTCTCAAGCCCGGATTCAAATTCGATCTTAGCTGCTTGATGACTGACGCGACCGAGCTGCATCTCCGTCCCGGCCAGGCTTTTGACATGGAGACGTTCAAAGAGAAGTCCATCTTGGACCCAGCTCAAGCCGTCGGCCTTATAAACACCCTCCAACACCAAATAGGGCTTATCCAGGGCCCTCCCGGCACAGGGAAGAGTTATACCGGAGTTGCCCTCATCAAGGTGCTACTAGCCAATGCGGCCAAAGCCAAAGCCAATATTGGACCAATCATCTGTGTCTGTTATACAAATCATGCCCTCGACCAGCTCCTAGAAGAGCTGCTAGAAAGGAAGATTACCACACAGATTGTTCGAATTGGATCGCGCTGCAAGTCGGAACGTGTGGAGCAACACACCTTGAGCAAACTAGTCCACAAGCCTCCGCAGACCAAAGTCGAGAAGAGTTCGATCTATCACCTCCATCTCCAACTCGAAGAGTGCCAAAGGGAATTTGATGGCCTACGATTACATTTCGAAGGGTCTGAGGGGAACTTGAAGTGGTTTCTTGAGCGCTACAACCCCAAGCACTATCGCCAGCTTTTCAGCACCGATGAGCAGGGATGGATAAGGCCCAAGTCAAAGAAGGGTAATAACGCATTCCACCAGTGGATAAACAGAGGATTTGAGTCGACGGAGAAGCCCCGATCTATCGGTGTCCTTGAAAATATAAATCTTGAACACATGAGTGTCAGAGAACGGCAAATGGTCTACGAACACTGGCTCACAGAGAATAGACGTCAGAAGCACGACAAAGCTAAGATACTGGTCCAGGAACAACGAAGGAGCAAGGAAGAGATGAATGATGTTCGACACGAGGTTGATCTGCGATGTCTCCGGCAGGCACAGGTTATCGGAGTTACGACCAGTGGCCTCGCTCGGAACCTCAAAATGCTTCGTCGCCTTCAGTCCAAGGTTGTGCTGTGCGAAGAGGCTGGAGAAGTGTTGGAGGCTCATCTCCTGACAGCCCTTCTGCCTTCCGTCGAGCACGCCATTCTCATTGGGGACCACCAGCAACTCCGCCCGCAGATCCAAGACTACAATCTTTCTCGGGAGAACTACCGAGGTGGTGAGCAGTATTCTCTGGATCAATCGTTGTTTGAGCGACTGGTGGATCCTGGCGAGGACGGGTCAGGGGTGCGAATGCCGTTTAGCACGTTGGAAACGCAGCGCAGAATGCATCCCTCTATCGCACAGCTGGTCAGGGACACCTTGTACCCTCGCTTAGAAGATGCTCCGTCGGTTTTGGAATACCCGGAGGTATGTGGGATGCGCCAGAGGCTGTTCTGGTTTGATCATCAACACCCCGAAGCCGGCAATTCCAGTACGGATGCCGTGAACACCTCACACTGGAACGCGTTTGAGGTGGAGATGACCACCGCACTAGTCGCTCACTTGATCCGACAAGGCTGCTATAGGGCGGGGGAAATTGCTGTACTGACCCCTTACCTGGGACAGCTCCATCGGCTCCGACGCCGGCTCAGCGAGTCGTTTTCCATCGTCCTCGGCGATCGTGACCAGGACGATCTGGAGGCAGCGGGGTTGAATGAATCAGACGCAGATACACATTCTCCGGTGTCTCAGTCAACTGCACTACAGACCGTTCGTGCAGCCACCATTGATAACTTCCAGGGTGAGGAAGCCAAGGTTGTGGTGATATCGTTGGTCAGAAGCAATGCCCAGAGACGCTGCGGATTTCTGAGAACCTCAAACCGTATCAACGTCCTGCTGTCCCGCGCAAAGCACGGCATGTATATCATAGGTAACGCTGCTACGTCCATGGATGTGCCGATGTGGCGGCAAGTCGTGGAAATCTTGAAGAGCAAAGACAACTTTGGAGCTCAGCTCAAATTGCAATGTCCACGCCATCCAGATTCCCCTATTGCAGTTTCGGAGCCGGACCACTTCGTGCAATATTCTCCAGAGGGCGGTTGCAATCAGCGTTGTGTCAACCGATTGAAATGCGGTCATGCCTGTAAGCAGAAATGCCATTCGACACTGCTTCACAATGCAGTCTATTGCCAGGAACCCTGTCCACGACCTTTGAAGGGATGTGATCATGCTTGCCCGAAGCACTGTGGCGATAAGTGTCCTCAGCGATGCCAGGTGACCGTCTTCGACGCCAACCGGCACCTTCCCTGTGGACATGCTGCGGCGGAGCTTCCATGTTGGCAGGCGCAGGATCTTTCAGAGGTCAAGTGTCCAATGCCCGTGGCGAAGCAGGTGCAAGGGTGCAATCACACAGTGACAGTGCCCTGTCATGTCAAGGTCGAGATTCCATTCAATTGTCCAGCGGTGTGTGGAGCCATTCTTGCCTGCGGGCACCCTTGCCGACGCAAATGCTGGCAGTGCACTCGGTATGAGGCAGAGGATAAGGTCCAAGTCACCACCCACGGGCGGTGCGAACAGCCGTGCGGTCGCAAATACTCGGCATGTGCACATAGCTGTACTCGAATCTGTCACGAGCCGGAGCCCTGTCCGCCATGTGAGTCCCCCTGCGATGTTCATTGTGGCCACTCCCAGTGCCCCAACAAATGCTGTGAGCCCTGCGTCCCCTGTGCCGAGACACGATGTCCATCGTCGTGCCCTCACGGTGCATGTACGCTGCCCTGTGCGGCTCCTTGTGACAACGTTCCTTGTTCCAAGCGCTGCGACAAACTTCTGGCTTGTGGCCACCAATGTCCCTCTATTTGTGGCGAGATATG